GACAGAGTGACGGAGAGACAGAGAGACAGGGAGAGAGGAAGGAAAGGAAGAGGGCAGGGAAGCGGAGAAGAAAGCAGGAAAAAGGCCGGGTAAAGGAAGCGAGACACAGCAACGAAGGGCAGCGGAAAGGACTGGAAGGAAGGAGAGGTAGGGGAGGGCAGGGGAGGGGAAGGAAACGGAAAAATACCTGGAAGCCTCCGAAGGGCAGGAGGCCCGCAAGGGCAAGGAGGCTGCCACAAGGGCACAAGACCCAGGAGAGAACAAGGAGCAGACCGCTCGAAAGAAACTAGAGAGTTAGTTTGAGAACAAAGAGCAAGCCAAGCGCAGGAAACTAGAGAATTAGATAAAACGAGCAAGCCGCTCGAAAACGACTAGAAAACTTGAGAACACAAGAAGCTTACCGCTCGAAGGAGACTAAACAATTTACGAACAAGGAGCACGCCGCGCAAAAAGGACTAGAGAATTTGATAAAACGGAGCAAACCGCTCAAAGGAAACTGGAGAATTTGAGAACTCGGAGCCATCCGCTCGAAAGAAACTAAAGGATTTGAGAAGAAGGAGCAAATCGCTCCAAAGAGACTAGAGAGTTTGAGAACAAAGGGCAAACCAAGCGAAAGAAACTAAAGAATTCAAGAAACAAGGAGCAAACCGATTGAACAAAACATGAGACAACTTGAGAACACAAGGAGCAAACCGATCCAACAAGACTAGAGATCTTGAGAACAAGGACAGAAGCCGATCGAAAGAAACTAGGGAATTTCAGAACAAGGAGCAAACCGCTCGAAAGAGGCCAGAGAAGTTTAGAACAGGGAGCAAGCCACTCGAAAGAGACCAGAGAAGTTTTGAGACACAGGAGCAAACCGCTCGAACAACTGGAGAAGAAATAATTTGAGAAAAAAAACTAACAAACCTCGAGAATTTGAGAACAGGGAGCAGACCGTTCGAAAGACATTAGAGGCTTTGAGAACAAGGAGCAAACCACTCGAAAGAGACTAGAGATATTGAAACAAAGGAGCAAGTCGCTCGAAAGAGACCAGAGAATTTGTGAACAAGGAGCAAACCGCTCGAAAGGGACAGAGACCGAAGCAAACGGCGAAAGAGATTAGAGCATTTGGGAACAAGGAGCAAACCAAGCGAAAGAGACTAGCGAAAGGAACGGGAATTTCAGAAAAAGAGTCAAATCGCTCGAAAAAGACCGGAGAATTTGAGAACACGGGGGCAAGCCTCTCGAAAGAGACTAGAGATATGGAAACAAGGGAGCTAATCGCTCGAAAATGGCCATAGAATTTGAGAGCAGGGGGCAAACCCGTTCGAAAGAGACTAGAGGCTTTGAGAAGAAGGAGCAAACCTATCGAAAGAGATTACCGACTTTAAGAACAAGGAGCAAACCGCTCGCAAAAGACGGGAGAATCTCAGAAGACGGAGCAAACCGCTCGAAGAGCTTCAGATGACTCGAGAAAAGGAGCAAACCGCTCCAAAAAGACTGGGGAATGTCAGAACAAAGAGCAAACCAAGCAACAGAGATTTGGAATTTGAGAAAAAAGAGCAAGCCGCTCATCAAGCAAGACTAGACAACTTAAGAGCACAAGGCGCAAACCGCTCGAAAGAGACTAGAGAAATTGAGAAAAACGAGCAAGCCGCTCCCCAGTGATTCGGATCGTTTGAGCAAGAGCAGCCAACCGCTCGAAAACGACTACAGAGTGTCAGAACAAGAACCAAACCAAATCAAAGAGACCAGAAGATTGAGAAAAAGGAGCAAACCCAAACCGCTCGAAAACAAATAGCACAAGGACCAAACCGCCCCAAACGACTGGAGAATTTGAGAACAAGGAGGAAACCAAGCGAGAGAGACAAGAAAATTTAAGAGCGCGGAGCAAACCGGTCCAAAGGGCTTAGAAACATCGACAACAAGGATCAAACCGCTCGAAAGATGCTGGAGATATTGAAACAAAGAAGGAAACCACTTGAAAGGGATAGAAAGCGAGCAATCCGCACGAAAGTGGCTAGGGAATTTGAGAACTAGGAGCAAACCGCTCGAAAGAGGCTAGAGACTTTAGAGAACAAGGAGCAAACCGCTCGAAAGACACTGGAGAATTTGATCACAAGGAGCAAACCTCTCCAAAGCGATTACAGAAGTTAAGACAGAGACTACAGAATTCAAGAACAAGGAGCATTTGAGAACACGGGAGCAAGCCGCTCGAAGGAGAATCCGCCGACTCTGGCGGCGCTCAGAAGCTGTGTTCCACCACTTCGTTTGCCCACTCGCATGCCCCCTGCGTCCAGTGCCTCCTGTCACTGTAGTAATTTAGTATAGTATAGTAGTAATTAAGCTATTTGCACTCCCTTTTGGTCGAAGGGGGATGCCTTCAGCATCAGGCATTTCTCCACACGCCAGGGGGACACTGTTCGAGTATTTGCAGCCGCAAGGGCACCAGTTGAATGTGCTTTTGCCCTTAATCTCGCTGCCGGTGCTGTGCGTGTGTGCGTGTTTGCTCGACCATCCCTCCCCCTATGCCCCGTCTCTGAGCCAGTGTCCCCAGCTTAGTACTTCGGTGAGGGATCATCGAGGGAAGAGCTTTGTTCCTGCGAAGTGGGCTGTCTTGTCAAGTGTCCAATTCCAACCCAAGCCGCCCGGCTTGGGGGGGCGGGCCCAAGGAGGTTCGGGTGGCACATCCCTCCCCAGATCCCAGGCTCGGATTGCGGGGCCCGGAGCGTTGAACTCTGCACCGGAGCCCCGATGACGCATGCGGAGGGGCAAAGAAGGCGAGAGGGACCGCTTCCGTAGGCCGGAGAGCACCCCAGGTCGACACTCACTCACTCACTCACTTAAGCTGTTTGCAAGCCCAAAATCGTCCAGCGCCTCCTGTCAATGTCGTAATTTGGTATTTTGACTCGTCGTGTCACTGTAGTCATGTAGTAGTAATTTAATTATCTAATGCAAGCCCAATGCATGCCCAACCCCTCCGCCACTTTTCCTTTCCTTCCCCCTGCATCCAGTGCCTCTTGTCAATGTAGTCATCGAGTAGTAATTAATTCAAGCCCACCTCATGCCCCATCCCTCCGACTCCTCCGACTCCTGTCAATGGGGTAATTTAATCGTAATTTAGCTATTTCCCTGCCCTTCCCCTGCGTCCAGTGCTTTTGTCAATGTAGTAATTTAGTAGTACTCAAAGACTTTACTCACATACTTCATTTAAGCCCAATGCATGCCCAACCCCTCCGACCTCAGACCCTCCAACGCCCGCTTTTCCTTCTCCTCCCCCTGCGCCTAGTGCCTCGTGTCAATGTAGTGATTTAGTAACATCTCGGGCCCGAGGAATCTCGATCCGAGCTGCAGAGGGGCCACTGAAGCCCTGTCCCCTGAGGGGAAGGTTTTTTGGTCATGGATACGTGGCAGCGTAGAAGACAAACCGTGCGCGGAAGAGAGAAGGATAATTTTAGGCCCTGTCCACGTGGGTGGAGATGCAAACAAGCGCCTGGACGGTGCGGAGGGCTTTCTTCGGACTCTGTCCATGCATGCTCACTCGAGAAGCTGTTGAGCGCCGGGCCTACCCAGGGCAGAGAAAGAGCATTCCGACAGTACCGAAAAAAAAACCTACGGGGACAAAAAAAAACATCCCAGGTACAGGTACGGGCTGGCATCTGCCGGCCTGCGGCTTTAACATGGCGGCTACGCCGATACCACTGCCAAGCAGCACATCCTCTTTGTAGAGTGTCGACCTTGGCACAGCAGGTCCCAATCCTAGCTGGTGAAGCAGAAATGGTTGCGACACCCGCTTGCCCATTCAAAGGCTGTCAGAGATAACGGAGATCTGCCAGAGAATGCAGACTTTTCCAGTTCGCTTTGTTAGGCTGCTCTCAAAACATCAGCTTCGATGTTGACAGCATCCATGCCATCGGAGCTCCGGGAAGGGTTCACCCTGAAGCCACCAATCAGCATATTCAGACTAAAATAGGCTGTGGCCACGGCTCAAAAACGAGTCTGACAAACGCAGCTTGCCATGTCGGCTGCCTGCGTTGAGACTAACAAAAAATCTTGAGCCCGCTTCACACGCGCCAGCACCGGCCCCAAGCCCATCCAGCCACTGAGAGCGCAAGGAAATTCCAGAGCCCTATCCACTCCACACCATTGGCAGTAGCAACTTCTGCGAGAACTGCCCCTAGCATAAACAAGGAGCCAGTCAGGAGACTCACGGCGAATACCTCCAGGATGAAGGGATGGCATCTGCGGTTCCTTACCCATAGCCCGTGCTTCATGGCGAAGGTAGAAAGGACTGCGATGGCTGGAAACCAGAGAAGGTTCAGGGCCACGATATAGCCCATGAAGCAGGCCAGAATACTTGTTGCAGGTGCCCCCACTGTCCACAACCCCAATAGTGTTTCGCAAGTAAGGGACGCAACCGGCAGCAAAGGGAGCCAGATATACTGGGCTGGTAAAATGCCGCTCGCCTGCATGAGGTCGATAACCTCAAAGCGGAAGACATCCCTTATGTGCGCGGAAAATTCGTCCAGGCTGCCGTACCACTCAATGATGGCGGCGTGGATACATTCTCTGTCGAAATGGTTGCTGCATTGTATGCATTTTACATCAAAGCTTGCAAGGTCTGACGTTAATTGCATGTCTTCCTGGTGCTTCTTCCGGGCCGTATACGCAAGGGCCGGAAATAAGAATATGAAAGTACTGCTGGAGACCCCGAGCAGCCTCATGCTGCGGCTAACTCGGTCGTCGGAATCTGCCCAGCTGGCCAAAATTCCGATCGAAGCCAACTGCACCCAGAGAAACATCATGTAAACTGCAATGTCCGTGGCAATGGGCTTGATGACTATCTTGCCAGCTGGATTCAGCTTGCGATATGCCGCAAGCTCGAAGACACACCAAAGCCTGTAGGGCACGGCGGGCATGTGCCTGTGTGTGTGCGCACGCACGCTTTACAGTGCAATTGCCTACGCCCTTTCGGGTGGCTTTCTGAACCAACGGGCCGCCGGAGCGGGAAAAGGTAACTGAAGCGAAAACCCTTGCTCTAAGCGCCCCGCCTTGTCAGGTACGGCGGGCTCCAGAGCACCCGCAACTCCCTAGAAGCCGCAAGGAAAGCTCCGATAGATCTGATCCCTTGCTGCATCATCCGCTTGTCCGACTGGTGAATGCACACGTAGTCGAGAAAGCAGGTATCTGAGCCGTGACAGCTGATGTGTGGATAAACTAGCAGGCCCAGAAAGGCTCCAATGAAGCCAGCCATCATCAACCAGCAGTGGAGAGGAATCGAACCTTGGAAACCAGTCACGTCGGCGTGGAAGCTGGTGACAGCTGGCATCGGGCCCAGGAGGCACAGGAGCAGCGCAAGAATTCCACCCAGGGCCCAGGAGATAAACATGGCAGGCCAGCCAAACTGGAGCAGCAAGGCCAGCATCTTCAACCCTCCAGGCGTGAGCCAGGTGTGCGATACAAAGATGTCGTAAGTTTGAGTCGGCGTAGACGAACCGAAGAGCTTTGCCTTCTTAGCCTCGCTTGCGACCGTTGGCTTTGCGAACCAAACCGCCCCTCCCCATCGCAATGTCTTGCGCAACGACACGCCCCGCATGAGCTGCGGCGAGCTGATCTTCTGCTGCGTCAGGACTCTTACTGGTGCCAGACCGCTGTCATCATCATCATCATCATCATCGTGATAGTCAGAGCCGTCCTGGCTCGAGCTTCTGCTGGAGTCTATCCGGACGTGGATGGGCGAAGCCGGGCCTGGTGGGGAGCCCGCACCTTCAGAATCCTCGTCTCCTTTAGGCTGGTCAGTCTCACAGCTGCCGCTAAGGAGAACCATGGCTGTTTCTGTTTTCGCCACTGCAAGAAGAGTCCCGAAGGCAAGGTAGAACCCCCTCTTCGTTTGTCATGGCTTTTCTTCTTGATGCTCTACTTTTCGGAACCTCTCCGGGTTTGGGGCGTATGGGGTGTTGACAGGTCTCATGCCTTGCAAGGCAAGGTTCAGCCGGAATCCTTTAAACCACTACCTTTCTTCAGGGTTTGGGCCGCTATCTCTGTCACCCTACATCCCGTAAGCCGTGAGTCATCCTTCTCTGTGCGGCGAAGACATTCAAGCGGAGCTTCGTGGGAAAGCCAAACACGGTTCAAGTGTCAAAAAACACTCTTGGAGGCGTTAAGGGGGGGCTTTTGGGGGAACTACCTTACCCTTTTGCGGCAGGCTTCATTCGCCCGGAACTGCTGTCTACCTTACCCTAAAGTCCCGTCCCTTTTAAACTCTATAAACCCTAAACCGAGATTCTCAGCCGGGCGGCTCCAAGAGCCGCTTTCCGGAAGGCGCCGCCTCCGCCGCGGCCGCAGGCTCGGCCTCGGGGGCCTCCATGGCCTCACGCAGCAAGGCTAGGAACAGGGTAGGGTTTAGGGTTTAGGGTTTGAGCTTGGGTTTGTTTTTCAGGGTTTAGGCTTTCGGGTTTCGACTCTCACACTCGCAGACAGCAGGCAAGGCTCTAAATGGTTCGGTCTCCGCTCAGATCGTTGGGCAAACAGGTAGCAACAAGAGCGACAAGTATAAAACAGCACATAAAGACATAAACCAACATAATGCCCCCCACGCTACCACTAATCCCAACTTGCTCACTAGTTTAGGGTTTACGCTCTCACAACTCGGACAAGCCTGGGTCTAGGGTCTAGGGTTTAGGGTTCGCAGGTTGCCCTTCAGGCCCTTTCAGGAATCCTGCGAGCTCCAGTTCTCACAGTTGAAGCTGTAGAAGGCAAACTTGAAGAGTGCAGAACTTGTTTGCCCGCACCTGGAAAGCTACACGATTCACAAATATGCCCATGCCTTCAATAACATTTTTTGGCCGAAAATTGCAAAAACGCCATTGTGGCCTCCCGAGCCGTTCCTGCCATTTCCTTTAGACAGGGTAACTCAGGGATCACGGGGAGTACCCGTATGAGTCAGCAACTTGACTTGCGGCGCTGCCTGGATCGAAAACAAAAGAACGAAGAGGCTGGTTCCGAAAATAGGGGACCCTACGTAATTGAGTACCTTAAATAGTAGGATCCTTATTATAAGGACCCCAAAATAAGGTACCCCATTTAAGATCCTCAGCCGTCGCAGGAGGTCTTAAGCTGCTCTCTACTCGACGAAGAGATGTCGACCCTCCTAACGGCGTAAGGTGTCTCATCAAAAGCATTCAAAAGCCCTAGCAAGGGAACAGAGTCTGACATGGCAGCATGAAGAAACCGCTTCCGTGTAAGACCCATGACGACTGACTGAAGGACACATGCAGTGCCCGTATGGTTGCTCCCTGCACCTCAAGCATCACAGACGGTTGCACGATCCCCTGCCCATTCAACTTCTCAACACAGCGAAGAGGCTGCGTCAGGCTCCGCCATTGCAAAATCCGCTCGTGCGACGGCACAAAAAGGATGCAATGAACCTTGTCTAGCCTGTCAATGGAAGATTCCCGCGGATTTTGCCACTGCGCTTGAAACTAATCTGGAACTGCTCATCTTCGGGTCAGCTTTTATCCCATACTGGCAGGTTTTATGTCTGGGTGGTGAGTCTAAGCCAGGTGAGATTCTCGGATGATCCCAAATCTTGTTCAATACTGCGAAGAACTCACACTGTCCGTCTGCACGACTTCTAGAATCTGGAAACATGGCCCGACAGTCCATATTGCGATGTGGTGCATTCCCTTTCCTGTGTTTCAAAACTTGGGCCCCTACCCGACCGTTGATTGACAGGCAGGTTGCCAGCAAAGCCCTCCTGCAACGCGAACGAAGCCACACCTAGATGCGAAGCCAGCAGGTCGGTCGAGCAGGACATTCCTCGTCGATGTGCCGCAGGATCTACTGATTCCACTCTGGATGCCTACGCGTGGGCGACAAAGCCTGACGTCCGGCACATATTTATGCCGCTTGAGGAAAAGCACCTGTAGGTGCACCAAATCAGAACACACTCGATTTCGTGCCGTTCTGGAAATGTAGAGGCTGTTCTGTCTACATGAGTGGTCCTTTTCGGTGTCTGTCTAGATGTTCCATGGAAGAGAACAGCCCCCAAATGCACTGGGCATTTGCAGGAATCAAGCTGCTGGCTGGATCTAGGAAAGACCACGGTGAGTCTCCAGAACATCCAGTAAAACCAAAAATCCAAGCCAGGTAGAAATCTGCGATCATGCAGCATGTCCACTTTGTACACAAGTTCCATCTTTCATTGTTCTTCGAACGCCGTTTGCGGATCCGTCTCAGTGCACCGGCTTGAAGCAGATCCGTTTAGAATCTTAACTGGCACCAAATCCACAAACAGGACAGTTAACGCTACTTAGCTGGGGCGTATGTAAACCCAATGCGGCCTCACGAGATGACTTGGTGATGATCATCTGCTGTTGCCTCCGAGTCAAAGACATGCAGAAATCAATTTAAATGCGATGTGACTATACTGGCTGCTCTTGCAAATGCAGCAGGCACGCAAGGAGAACCTTTTGGAGCCACAACTTATGCTCAGCTTCACGCGTCTTGGCCTCAACACGCCACAAACCTTCCTAGCCCTGCGCTGGGCCGTCACGTCGAGCCGAGGTGAAACGAAACGGAGCCCGAGCTTCTGGAGGCCCCCACCACCTCAGGGCACAAACCCTGAAACTAAATTGGATGGCGGTGGCCACATCGGTGAAGGCCCCGGCACGAAGGAGAAGAACACGACCACACCAAAGGCGAAGATGCCTGGGAGATTTTGCAAATCAGGCTGGCAGGGTCGGAAAAGATGAAGTGGATCGTTGGTAAATGGCAGGGACCCTAGGCCCTAGGATGGCAAGCTTGCTGCTGGGTTTGTTTTAAGGCATTGCAGCACGAGGCTCGGCAGGTGTTTGCCAGCATGCTTCGCGGCTTCTTCGCACAGACCCTTGACCCTGTGGTCGTCCATGCCTGGACCCCAACTTGACCGACTCTGCTTTCCCGAAGCTCAAATGTCCCAGAGACCTCTAGGAAAAGCAAGAATAAATGCCAGCTCTCACTGATCCGAGTCGTCCACCGATGATGTAGCTCCGTCCCGCCTCATCCTTCTCCCTTAGCACCACACACGAAACAAGACCACCCGGCCCCACTTCAGGACTTGAACCCGGGCCTTTCAGGCATGATCCGGACGTTGAAGTTTGCTAGCATAACTCAGGGGGTGCCTTTCCCACATCTTCATCGTAGCCGGTTCTTTGCATCATCCTCATTGCCGGATCTGCCATTTGCCCCAAGGCCGCCGCACGGTGGGGAGGTTGAACATGCCCATGAAGCCGGCTTCCGTGTTGGCCAGCCTCAGTACACATAGTGTAACAGAGCCTGCCAAGGGCTTCGTTGCGGAATAGAAGGGGCATGAAATTTCTGAAAGATGGGAGGTCGAGGCCTTGGTCTACGTAGATTCGGTTAAGTTTCATTCCGCTGTCTGCATGACTGGGCGGCCCCCTTGAGTCCAAAGTTAGAAGCACTGCACCCCGTTCTGCCGCCAAAACTCGCCGTGAAACCTCCGAACCCTACTGTGTAATCATAAAATACAGACGGCAGACTAGCAATGATTAGATTAACATGAGTGTGCCTGACAGTGCGATGAAGAAAGGAACACTGCCATGCATCTATCGCCTCCGTTGCAGAGGGGCTAAGCGCTGGGCTCCCATCTCCAAGGCTTCAACCTGTCTGACGTGGCTGCTGGAAAGAGCTACAACTCATGCAAAACAACGGTGACATCGGGCATCTGCAAACAAGCATAATGATGACGAATGATGGGTGCGTGCGTGCGCGCGCGCGCGTGTGTGTGTGTGTGTGTCTGTGTGTGTCTGTGTGTGTGTGTCTGTGTGTGTCTGTGTGTGTCTGTGTGTGTCTGTGTGTGTCTGTGTGTGTCTGTGTGTGTTTGTGTGTGTCTGTGTGTGTCTGTGTGTGTCTGTGTGTGTCTGTGTGT